CCCAAGCTTCAGGGCTGCCTCATTAAAGGAGTGCAGAGGCCAGACTCGCAAACGAGAAAAAGCAAGCTCAGGAATCGTGGGTCGCATTTTGGGCTGTGGAAGAGGAACCGGCTCCATTCCTGTTCTCTCGAGTTCCTGCGCTTTTGGTTTTGCTTTTTGCCAATCCGCCTCCCAAGACTGCTCCAGGTGCTCCAGCCTGAGGGCTTCCCGCAGTTCGGCCCCATTATATCCTATGGGCCATTGAAGTCAATGGCAAAAACATAGGGTATATTCTGGGGGCTGGAGGGGGTTTGAGGGAGAGGCTCCAGAATCGCAGGGTAGCTGCTGGAGCCTCTCCCCAAGATACCCACCATGTTTCAGGAACATTGAACCAGGGGGTCCAATTCTACAGGCCCCCAAACAGGTTGCCCCTTTTCCCACCATAGAGAACAATGGAGGGAATAGGCCGTCAGCGCCTACAGCAGAAGAGCCACACTCAAGGGGCCAAAGAGCCGCATGTGGCTCTAGAGCCGCAGTTTGCCTACCACCGGCCTAGATTATCCCTGGCAAGTGTTTGTCCAGACGCTGCTTAAAGACTGCCAGTGAAGGGGGAGCTCACCACCTCCCTACACAGCTGATTCCACTGTTGCACAACTCTTGCTATAAAAAAGTTTTTCCTAATAGCCAGCTGGTACCTTCCCGGCCTTAATTTAAACCCTTTATTGTAAGTCCTAGTCTCTGCTGCCAACAGGAATGGCTCCCTGCCCTCCTCTAAGTGATAGCCCTTCAAATACTTAAACAAAGCTTTATTGAAATCCAGGTAAACAAGGTTTTATTCTGGGTATAAGCTTTCATGTGCACGCGTGTAGGGTTTTGGGTGATGTCTGAATGCATCTACTTCATTTATACCCTTCTCCCCAGTGCGGACATAGAGAAGCTTACATTGTTCTTTTATCCTCCATTTTATCCTCACAATAACCCTGTGAGGTAGGTGAGGACGAGTGTGTGTGAGACTAGTCAAAGGTCACGCAACAAGCTTTCCCAGTAGAGTGGGGAATTGAACCTGGGCTCTTCCAGGTCCTAGCTTGGTACTGTTTAAGAACATAAGAGAAGCCAATATTGGATCAGGCCAATGGCCCATCCAGTCCAACACTCTGTCACATAGTGGCCAAAAATACCAGTTGCCATCAGAAGGTCCACCAGTGGGGCCAGGACTCCCACTGTTGCCCCCCCCAAGCACCAAGAATACAGAATATCACTTGCCCCAGACTGAGTTCCTACCTATACTTTGTGGTACATGGATCTCTGCTCCATATGTTTATCCAATTCCCTCTTGAAGCCATCCATGCTTGTAGCCCCCACCACCTCCTGTGGCAGTGAACTCCAAGTGTGAATCACTCTTTGGGTGAAGAAGTCCTTTTATCCATTCTAACCCAACTGCTCAGCAATTTCATTGAGTGCCCATGAGAAAGGGAGAAAAGTACTTCTCTCTCTATGTGCTGTATCCCATGCATAATCTTGTAAACCTCTATCGTGTCACCCCTCAGTCGTCATTTCTCTAAGCTAAAGAGCCCCAAGCGCTTTAACTTTTCTTCATAGTGAACGCGTTCCAACCCTTTGATCATTCTAGTTGCCCTTTTCTGCACTTTCCCCAATGCTGTAATATCCTTTCTGAGGTGTGGTGACCAGAATTGCACACACTATTCCAAATGAGGTCACACCATTGATGTATACAGGGGCATTATGATACTGGATGATTTGTTTTCAGTTCTCCTCTTAATAATCCCCAGCATAGCGTTGGCCTTTTTTTTGACTGCAGTCGCACCCTGTCGCAGCATTTTCATTGAGTTATCCACTACGACTCCAAGATCTCACTCTTGGTCAGTCTCTGCCAGTTTGGACCCCATCAATGTGTATTTATAGTTAGGAGTAGTTTAACTACTCCAACACACCAGCTCTTATGTTTGACCAAAAAACGAAACAAAACCCCCTCATCTTTGAGAACCTTGTAACCTGGAGTTAGGTTTCTAATTCTTGCAGATCTTGGCAGGGTCCATACAACTATTCCAGTACTCTGCTTACAGTACTATCTCTGTCCCTTCCCCATATAAAACCATAGGAAACCTAGACAGTGTGGTGTCTAAGACCCCACCAGCTTTGCAGGAAGAAGAGAATATTTTTTTAAAAAGGTCAATATATCCACTGAGGCCATCCCCAAGAACAATCTCCATAAAGTTACTAGGACAAATTATTAGTGACTGTGGTCTATTCTACTGTGCATAGTTTGCTGTAAGTCGGATCACACTATGTAAGCTTGCATCGTTTAATGTGTCATGTCAACACTTATGCTTGCTTCAGCTCTGTTCTCAAATTCTATTTCATTGTTTATGAAATGTCCCATCCTGCTAGTTGTATTGACTCACTCTGTGTAGTCTACTTTGAGTCCCAGGGAGAAAGGCGGACTATAAGTACAATAAAACAGAAATATAGAAAACACTTTCTGTTCAGAACACGCTGCAGTCTCGTCCCCTAGAACTGTTACTACACCTGGCACATGATGCTTGGAGGAAGCAATAAACCTTTCTGGAAATGAGCCCGGAGAGCTCAGCGGTATTGTGGGGAAGAACAGGGATTCCCCTTCTCTGCAAACTCTTGTTCTTACTGAATTCAAAGATGGCCGGTTTTGCATGCAGGGAAGCCACCAACCAGCCTCTTCCCCTCAGGTATCCATACATGAACTAGTTTGCATAGGGTGGCTTATACCACTCAGTATACATAATAAACCAACAGCCGTTAGACTGTGTATACAGGCCCAATACAAACATGAACTTCAAATAAACTACTTCCTTCTGTTAGATTTAAATCCAATACATCTCACCTTTCAGAGGCCAAACCGGAAGGGCATGAACACGAGTCCCACATCAAAACTGGTTTTTATCTAAATGTACATAACCCTCCAATCTAGACTTACCTGTGCCTGCAGTTATGCTTCTGTACATATGGCTATTTAGTAATCTCTATGTGTATAAAACACTTTTCAGCAGAGACCCACTGCCCGCTGGTAATCTCAAAGGAGACAAGTGTTTCAAAATACAGGCCACAGAAGTGTTAAGGGGGGGTAGGCTCTTACGTAATATACCTCAAAGGTAGCTTCTCCTAACCATCAGTTTCTGCTTTCCTTCGAAGCAGAATTGCATCACCTTGTACTAATACATAAGAAGCATCTGTGTGGCAGTTCAAGCCAAGTGCTGGAAAATGAAACTTTATCAATTCCATTTCAGCATAATATTGGGCTCAACCATTTGCCATGGAAATTACAAGCAAAAGGAATTTTGCAAATAAATAGAATTTTTATTTTGTACCTTCATAATTAAACTATTTATAATCCTATTCATTGACTTAAACATTACAAAAAAATTCCTCACACAGTGACTCCGACCCCCCCCCCAAGAATTGAACACCACACTGATCACATTTTATTTATACAGATAAAAAAAACAAGTTATCCAGTTTACAAGACTTACTTGAAAAGGCTGGAAAGAATTGGTCAAGTGCCAGTCAGCACTCACTGAGTCTGTGGAAATTGTGCATGATTTAGTGCAATGAAGGAATGTGCCCACCTTTGCAGTGGGTTGTTTTTAAATATTGTCCAATTTATCTCTGAGCAATCAGCTTTTCTCTACACGTCTCTCGAAGTTTGTTTACGGTAGCCATCCGCAGACTTCCGGGATCTGTAAATATTTTCTAGAATTGAGAATTAAATGCTTGTGAGTATAAACCTGGGAAATAATTAGGGGCGGGGACATAAAACAGCAAAGGCCAGTGTCATTCTGGGGAGATGCCGGGGATCCCTGCCTTGGAAAGTTCTTCTCAGCCACCACGTACCTAAGGATTATCAACAAATTCTCACTGCCCCCTTTCAATTTCCTCATCTGCAAAATGGGGTGTAAAATGGTACAGCATTGTCAATTTTTAAAAATTTATTTATTGGATTTTTTAATATTTACAAAAAGAAAAAGGAAAAAAACCATCATATCAAAGTTACATATATGCAGATATCTTCCTAGGATACAGATAAGTATCTCTACTTTTAATACGGTAGCACTCAAAAATAAACCTTATTCATTAGTTTGACTCTTTCAACCAATTATAAAAACTAAACCAATAATTTTCAAAAGTCTCCATACTTTTTTCTTCGATAATAAAAGTCAATTTCTCCATTTCTGCTATATCGAACAGTTTGATGATAATTTCATCTTTAGATGGAATATTACCATCTTTCCATCTCTTGGCAAATACAATTCTTGCTGCTGTTAAGATTTGCATTGTTAAATATACCTCTTTTTTCTTAAATGTCTCAGGGATCACATTTAACAGAAAACATTCTGGTGTCAATGGGATATTTTTAATATTTTTTCCATAATTTATTTTACCATAACCCAATATTTTTTTTGTTTTACTGCATGGCCACCACATGTGGTAAGAAGTACCAATACTGTAATTGCATTTCCAACAATTTTTCCCTATTTTTTTGTTATATTTATTTAGTCTAGCGTGTGAGATGTGCCACCTATAAAACATCTTCACAATATTTTCTTTAAAGGCACTTGTTCTTACAAACTTTATGTTTCTCGTCCAAATTTTATCCCATTGCTCAAAGCTTAGACTGTGACCTATATCTTGTGCTCATGCTATCATCGATAGTTTCACCTGTTCATCTAGCATTTTCCACTCTATCCAAAAGTTATAAGCTTTTAAATACATTTAAATACATCTTATCTAATTCAGTTTAACTTTCATAGAAGCCCAATTTTTGTACAATCCATTCCCTTATCCAATTCATTACCGCTGCTTTATAATATAAAACCCAATCTAATATAAAACCCAATCTGGAAGGGCATTGTCAATTTTGATCTGACCATCCAGTATTGTGTCACACCTACACTCCCAATAGTCAGGATTGTAATTATATTTGTGTAATCTGTTCCACTCTAGCCCATACTCCTTGAACGTTAGAACAAAGATTGTGTCCAGTGGAACCTTTAAGACCAACAAAGTTTAATTCTGGGTGCAAGCTTTTGTGTGCACACGCATGCTCACGAAAGCTTATATCCAGGATTAAACTTTGCTGGTCTTAAAGGTGCCACTGGATTCAAACTTTGTTCTATTGCCTCAGACTAACACAGCTACACACCTAAATCCATCCCCAAATGTTATTCTTTTACCCCAAAGCTTTTTAAAAACCCAGGGTACACTAGAGAGGAGGCAGCATGGACAGACAGAATATATCGGTACTCAGAACATCCCTCTCTGCTTCATCTGCAAAATGACAACTGTGAAAAGACCCCTTCCCCCAATTTCAAGGACCACAGAACAATATGTAATTATGTAATTACAGCTATTATTTTTTAAAAAAATTTTTTTACACGTGTCCAAATGCAATAACCATATCCTAAGGATACAAATAGAGGAGGGAAGGTGGCATAGGTGTAGCCTGATCTCATCAGATCTCGAAAGCTAAGCAGGGTTGATACTTGGAAGGGAGACCACCCTTTTTAGAGGAAGGCAATGGCAAACCACCTCTGCTTTTCACGTGCCCTTAAAGCCCCTTGCTGGGATCTTCATAAACTGGCTACAACTTGACGGCACTTTACACACACACACACACAGACACACAGACACACACAGAGATACAAATGTATTGCAAGAACTGCACATTCTTGCAACTGATTCCAAAAGGAGATTTTGGTGGGTCTTCCATTTCTGCTGTTCTTTATTAATAACATATGGAATAGCTGCAGTGTGTGTAAACTGTAAGTAGTGACTTCCAGTCAGTTCATTTTCAAGGGTTAAACAACTTTGTGGAAGAGAGGACTGTTAATAGCTGTTAGCTGTGACAGCTACAGAATATCTCCATATTCAGAAAGAAAATAACCTGCATTCAAGGTAGTGCTTATGTCATGGACAGGTTGTAAGCCTTACAAAGTTTGCTGGCAGGCCACTGTCAGAAGCAATATGTACAATATGCTCCAATCCAACACTTGCCTCAACTTCCCAGGAAAACCTTTTGCAAGCCAGAAGTTATCAATGCCCCTAATCAAGACCAATTATTAATTCGCATGGCACACGAAGAGGGGATTGATCAAAAGGAAATTAACAGTGGCCAAAAGAGAGGGTAGCACAGACTGGCTTACCAGCACAAGGTCCCTCACCACTGTTCTATAGCCAGTGTAGTGTATTAACTAGAGTAGGATTTCAACATAGGAAACATGAGTTCAAGTTCTCATTGAGCTGTAAAGCCAATCGTGCAAATTATTGTTTCAGGTGGCTGTGAGCCATAAGCCTGAACAGGGTTTTGTACCAGGTGGAAAATGGGGAGGACTCTGGGCGATTGTGCCCAGCACTGGCTACAGCCAAGCAACTTCCACAGGTCCCTCCTTCCCTTCCTTTTTGCCAGTTGCACAGTTGCAGGGGGTCAAGACCAGCCAGACCAAAAGGTTTGGTCAGGTGGTTCCAATTTGGTTCACACCGCAGGCAGGTGGACATTTGGATCCTTCATTGAGCTATAAGCTGTGCAAGTCATCAATTCAGGGTGGCTGAGTAACTAAAATGCCATTCTGAGTTCATTTCAGGGGGAAAGGCCGCACAATGTGATAAAAATGTCTCTTTAAGCCCTTTATAGCAATCATTTCTGAAAGAATAATCACGGCTTACTGGATAACGAAGTTCAGACACTGCAACGAACTACACAGAACAGTATTAGTGCAGGGTAATGAAATGAGTGCTCACAGCCAATCACTTCCACCAATTGTTACTCCTGTCCAAGACAATGAGGGGTGGGGTTTTTTTGCACATCCACAAATCTCTCCAGAATTTGTGATGAGTCAGTGTATCTGCAGATAAATCTCTTCCGAAATGCATCCCATAACACTCAGAAGCACTACATGAAAATTCTACTGAATCAATACACTGACTGGCTTAGAAAGAGTTCTGTACCGCAGCATCCCCGGAAGGCTTGCACATATACAATTTTTTTAAAAAAATACGCACCTGCATGAAAGTATGACACTCTGTTACAAATGGACCTTTGGTGATCTCCTTAAATTTATCACAGATGTCCGGGAAGTTGTTGGCTTCCAAAATGAAAGCTTGATGTTGCTTAATTAATGTTAAGGCCACACGAAAGATTATTTTGGATCCCTCATAGAACAAGCAGTCCCAAATTCGAAGTACAGTCTGTGGGGTAAACAAGGGTATACAGCCAGAGAATTAGAAGCTGGACATTATCTAAAAACAACAATAACCCCTACAAGGCTAAAAATAGCATCAAGAGAGCCCTTGCCTCTACGGGAAGAATGTCAATGAACAAGCAGATAAACCAACGGGAGACCACCAACGTCCACATCACGCCATGTCTGTCCATCAATTCTGCGATGGCCGGTATTTTCATTCTCACAAGTTCTCCCAGCACTTCTTGATCCGTTTTCAAGCCCATCATTTCTGGACTATAATAATCTTATAAAAAGGGGGAAAGGAAAGAAGTAATTAACAAACAGGTGTCACACAATATACTATTTCATGCAACACTTACAGGTTGTTTTTCTGTCTCTTTCCTACATATATATGACTGCATCTGTGCATTTCACAGAGCAAGCTCCCTTTAAGAGTGACAGCTCAGCTTTTCCTGATGAGAGGGAGAAGTCAAGCCCTTTGCCCTTAACAGAAGCTTGGCAAAAGATGCCATGTTCTGTGGTCTGAATAGGCACAAATTCCACATGTGTAAACATAGAGTGCACCAGTAGAGGTACGTGAGTAGTTCTGGCAAAGTTCAATCCTTCAGTGTATCTGAACCCCCAATGTATTTGAATCCCTACGTATCTATCTGTACCCACCATTTGGAGCCATAGAATGGTACAAGGCCCATGACATAATTAAAGATGAACAGGAAGCCATAAAGGCCCAAGGGGTTGCATCCAAAACACAGCCAGCATAGTGAAACTGGGAGCAGGTGGCTTTTCCCCCACCTTTTCGTTCTGCAAGCCCACTGAGCCACCACTCCCAACTGTGTTGCTAGGGCCACAAGATTATCAGGCTAAACCTGGGGAGAGTAAAGCTCTACAATGGGCAGGGGCAACCACTGAAAACTGCCTTTCTTTGTCCATGGAAGTGCCATTCCTAGGGTTGCCAGGTCCCCCGGTGGAGTTGGGGATCCCCCACTAACAGGCCCCAGTGCACTGCCAATGATAAGCTGGCTGACAGGGAGGAACTTACCTCCCCAAAGAGGGAGATCTATCCAACGTGTGGTGACATGTCTGTGTCACTGCCCACATGACCTGGAAGTGACATCATCCTGTCCAGGACGTCGGGGTGACACTCTGGTATTTGGGCAAAAACTCAATAGTAGAAGCCAAATTTACCATAGAGTTTTTGCCCACATACAAGAGTGTCACCCTGATGTCCCAGACATGATGACGTCACGGGCTATGTGGGAGTGACATAGACACGTCGCTGCACATTGAATGGGCCTCCCTGCTGCTCCCAGTAAGTCCCCCCATCCCCCACCGGTTGCCACCCTAGCCATTCCACCAGCGTAACCGCACCTTTGGATACAACTCACTTTGTTTTGGCTGGTTTTGGTCACAGTGTCTAGCTTAAAGACATAACCTCCCACCCCCCGAGGGAGGAAAAAAATATTTGTTTTTTGGCACAGGCCAGATAACGTGGGCAGCATGTGTAGGACACCCTCCTGCCTCTGAGTTGCAAGAAAAGCTTCAGGAAGGGTGGTGGTGGAAAGCGCCATCAAGTCGCAACCAACTTATGGTAACCCCAATAAGGTTTTCAAGGTAAAAGACCAGCAGCGGTGGCTTGCCATTGCCTGCTTCTGCAAAAGAGGCCCTGGCCTTCCTCTGTGGTCTCCCACTCCAATGCTAACCATGGCTGACCCCGTTTAGCTTCTGAGATATGACAAGATCAGGCGAGCCTGGGCCATCTCCGTCAGGGAAACAGGAAGGGTAGGGGGACGCTTGCTTCATATTCCACAACCAAAGGTAGGTGGTAACTTGACAGATTTGTGGGTATCCCTGGGCTCCAGTAACTTTTTAAATGAAACTCTGAACTCAGCCTGGGGAAGCTGCCTAGGAGTTCCACTGATGTTACTCTCCCTTGTCTTTATTCCAAATTCTGATTATCCATGATAGGCATAGTGCACTTGTAGTTACAGGACCGAATGCACAAATGCTGATTCTGCTACTACATCCTAGAGACTAAGTGGATTGGTTTGACATGATGCAGACTCTATCAGGGAGAAATAAGGGGTTAGGTATGTCCTATATGCACACGCAGGCCACTTCATCACGTTAACAGCTTTTCCATTTCACATACATTTGAAAAGAATACAGGCGAGTTAACCAACTTCCTCAGGGTGGCCACAAGAGGGCGCCCTGTGACTGGGCTTAGGCCACCAGGCATGGGAGCGTTACATTCCTGTGACCATCTGATCTGTGGCAAGGGAACCAGCAGTTGCTGCTTTCACTCTCCCCGAGACTAAAACAGAAGGCGAATGCCAAAAGGTCCTATTAAAAATGGCAAGGCACCATTTCAAGCGGCTAGAAATACTAGGCTCAAGGTCAGAGGCACCGTGCTTGAATCATCCTGCTTTCGGAAATTCAAAAATGATGGGCAAACTAGTCAGAAAGAACCTGCTTTGAATCTAAAAGAGGATGGAAATATTAACTTCCAAAACACAGAATAAAAACAAGATGAAGGCATGTTCCGAGTTGTAGAAAATAAGACGGTACAGAGATTAAGTACATTCTCAGACAGCAAAAATATTTATTGACACAGACACGGATGGGACCGATACATGTAGCAAAGTGGTCGCAGCGGACAGCCTCGAAGGCTCCTTCTGAAACTGACCATGATTCCATGTTTAAACCACAGCCGACAGGCCAGGCCTGCACTGAAAAAACACCTCATCCTACAGATCTCTTGTGTAAAATCTACTGCTTGGGAAAAGAAGTGTTTACACTTCACTCTGTAAAATGTTCAGAAGATAGCCTGAAATAGTCTTCCCAGGTAAGAAAGGCCACACATGCCACATAGGGCTTCATGAATTCTCATGAGGCACAAACAGCCTGCTGTACTGCATTCAGAGACACATGAGGAACAACAAGGGAATTCCTAGCATGGTGTAGTGCCAGTGTGGTGTAGTGGTTAAGAGTGCCCATCTCTAACCTGGAGAATAGAGTTTGATACCCCCCCTTCTCCACATGAAGCCTGCTAGGTGACCTTGGGCCAGTCATAGTTCTCTCAGAGCTCTCTCAGCCCCACCTACTTCACAAGATGCCTGCCCCCAAGAGCACTTCGGTCCGGGGCACAACATCGCCTGGTGGTTCCAGGCCCCCGGGAGGCAAGGCTCGCCACGACTAGGACCAGATCCTTTTCAGTGGTGGCCCCTACCTGGTGGAATGAGCTCCTGGAGGAGATCAGGGCCCTGCGGGACCTTATGCAGTTTCACAGGGCCTGTAAGATGGAGCTCTTCCGCCAGGCTTTCACATAGGGGCCACCACTATCACCGCCACTAATGAGGTGGACAACATCGGGGTGAAGGATGGCCCGGGAAGATCTGCCACAACTTCTGCGTGACCGATACCACTGGATTTACCTGGTTGAGCTATAGGATAACATCATCCTTGGAGAACTGTCTATTTACCATCTGGCATGTATCCGGAGACCATCTTGTTAAATAAGTACAATTGTTATTAATTGTTATTAATGTTTTTATTGCTTTTATCTGTTTTATATGGGCTTTGCCCCTTGTAAGCCGCCCTGAGCCCGTTCTGCAGGGAGGGCGGGGTATAAATTTTAATAAATAAACAAAGGCGACCGTAAGCCACTTTGAGACTCCTTAAGGTAGAGAAAAGCGGAATATAAAAAACCAACTCTTCTTCAGTATCTGCTCCCAGTTCCTGGGTGGCAAAGGGGGGGGGGTAGCTGATCATCTTTGGCGGCGCCTTTAGCCACCACTAACTGGGTAATTCACACAAAAACCTAATTCTACCAGTTCATTTGTTGTTGTTGTTTTAAAGAACTAAAGTCTGCACTGAAGAGAACATATGCACCTGCACTTGGGGCTCATTCCAGGTAGGAGTTGCAGGCAAAAACCCAGGAAGGAATGACTACAGCTTGTGCCACTCTTACGGATTGTTTTTGACTGGTGAAGTGCAACTGGCACATGGGAGAGTCAAAGCTAGATCCTGTCAACTATTCAGTGTACAAAGGCTTCATTATACGGGGTTAACAGAGTTTCACTAGTAGCCTTTTTTCTAGGAATCCAGGTAAGTAGGTGCTTTTTTCCGTTGCTGCAAAGAAAAATAATAAATCCATGCCATTTCCTTCCAGAACATGTTTAGAACAATAGAATGGTTGCTTGATCAGGGAGACTGCAGGATCATCTGTAGATATTAACTTTAGTGATGGCTCTTCAGATACCTGATTTGTTCTCTGCTGTAACAGAAGGCAGCAAATGAGCTCAGGTTATGGGAAAGCTACCACATGAATACCAGTTTACCACATGGCTTTCTACCATGTGGTTGCTTGGTCTTGTACTGTAACCTTTTGGGGACCAGGCATTCTGATGCATCTTTATGAAGCAGTAAGTCTTCCCAACAGCTACTCCAACCACCTGCTTAATTTAGGGAATCGAAAGGTATAGAATTCCTGACAGCTGCCTGTACTTGAAGACCTGGGTGAGTGTAGGCTTCCCCTGCTAACTTTTTCCAGTGTTGAATGCTCTCTTTCTCCTCATATCGAACTGAAATCTGCCTTCCCATAACCTGAGCCCATTTGCTGCCTTCTGTTGCAGCAGAGAACAAGTCTTCACCATCCCGTCAGGTACCTGAAGAACCACCACTTAAATATGCTCAGTTCATTCAGTCTTTCCTCATAGGATTTGTTCTCTATACTCCAAAACCTTCTGTCTTGTTCTCTGAACGCATTTCAACTTGTCTATACTTTTTAAAAGTCTGTTCTATTCAGAACTACTAGACACAGTACTTCAGATGAGGTCTGATCATCATGGTGACTTCTATCACTTGGTACGCTTTAAAAAAAGAGAATTTAACATACCTGGTAATATTCGGCCAATGAGAGCATCTAACAACCAAAAAGACTCCTCCTCATTTTTTGTAATAAGAATCAAGTATCCAGCGATGAAGTTCATGCCCTGAAATACAATGGAAGAGCCTATTTACCTCAGAGATTCTGTTTCATTCTATGTTGACAAACATTACTTGAAAAACCCAAAAGAATAAAATGAGAAAAGCCACCTTCATTCTACTCAAAGTCAATTTTAAGAGCGTATCCCAATCAATTTTTGACCTTTGGTTATGAATTGTTACAGGTAATGAATACATGCTGATGATAGTCCATTAGTTTACAAGGCAAGATAGGGAAACATTTGTGGTTGATATCCCCCCAAAAGAATGATATACTCTGCATGAGAATATTAAGAAATGTTCTTTGAATGTAAGCATAAGGGGGAATATACTGAAGATAATGTATAGAAGATGATACTTAACACTGGATAGGATTGCAAAGGATGGGGTGGTGGTGTAAAAGTGAAAAGGGATCTTTTTTTAGATATATGATGGTCTAATTTGGCTGCCAAAATATATTGGCAAGAGGTCTTCCAAGGTACCAGGAGACATACTAAGGATAAGACTACCAAATCATCCCAAATGTGCCCTTTTAGGGTTTATTCCTAGATGGTAGAAAGCAGAAACATATTACTGAGAAATTTATTAGTGGCAGCTAGAATGACATTGGTGCAGTACTAGAAAAAAGATTGTTGTTGTTCAGTTGCATAGTCGAGTCTGGATATGTAAAACCTGATTTAACCTACTGATGAATAAAATATCAGTAATTCATCAGATGTAAGGAGGAAAAAAGAATATGCCGGAAGATTTTACTAAAACCTGGCAACTATTTATGATATACTGGAACAGAATGAAGCCAGAAGAAAATGTAAAACAAGAAATTTTGAAAAGTGTATGATTTCAGTAGGAGAACTGAGTATATGATTAGAGTACACGAATACTTTATATGCTCATATAAGTTACACATTCTTGACGCGGTAATTAGTCGGTCACAATGACTTTTATGTTATGGTAAGATGCAAATTAGGTATGAAAGTGTATGTAAGGTATATGTATTGAGTTTAATTTAAAAATTACATTTAAAAAAGTTTAAAAGCCTCTGTTTATAGATGTGCGCTGTCTATAAAACACAGCCTTGAAAAACAGTCAGGGTTCACACTGACCTACTAAAACTACACGATGAACATACAAAATAAAAAATGGCATTTATCTATACTCAGGGAAGTATAAGACTCTAATGTACAATTTTCCACTTAACAAGTCACCTTCCAAAGAAATGTACTCCTTTGTTTTGAGCCAGTGATAATATAGAACTTTTCCTGGAGGGACATTTCCTTAATGGTGTTGTTAATTGAAAACTACTGGGTTCGCCGCATGGAGGACTCTGACAACGACATGCTGTAGCACACGTTTATTGTACTTCACATAGACAAAGACTAACTCTAACGGCCAACGGGGCCAACTATATACATATCCACCAGCAACCCTCCCACTCCCATTGGAGGGTTTGAATGTCCCGCCAAGGTGGCTATTGGTTGGGGCTGGGGAATCCAGGATCCGAAGTTTCCTTTGTTTTCGGATCCAAGGTCTGGCCTGTCCGCGGACCCCTGGAGGCGGTCCACGTACATAACATTAATAAACACAGAAATTCCACAACTGGACCTACAGATTTATGTCAGGTAGCTAACATGTGAACAGTTAGAGATAGACTTGACATAAGTGAACAGCACAGGCACCACTACCGGATTATTTTTAAGCATGACAAAATATAGTTCATGGCATTGTCTCTGCAGAAGTTCTTCCCAGGAGGATCATAAAGCTTCCTTATGCCAAGTCAGACTACTGGTCCTTGAATCCAGGATAAGGAAAGATCTTTCCTCCAACACCTGTTTTCCAAAACCATTCACCTTGAGATGCTAGCAGCCGACTGGGAACTTCTGTATATTAAGTATAATATATTCTAATAGCAAAAGTGTGGCCCCATCTGCAGATAATCTAAATCTGTGGATTGGGGCCATGCAAAAAAACAACAACACCCCAGGTTTGAAGGAAAATCTGAAACATAAAAAGGGGGGGGTTAAACCCCCAAAGCACTGTTTGAGCAAGCACACACAATGTTCTTACCTCCTCCTCCTCTGTTGGTGGGCTCGATGGGGGGGGGAGCCTAGCTAGTACCAGCAACTGCAATGGGAGGAAACCTCAGTGGGCCCGCTAGGAGGCATGCAGGGCTTGCTGCTGAAAGTGGCAATGGTGGTGGGGGAAATTCAGCAGCCCCCCAGGAGCAGTGGTGAGCACTGGGCTCGCTGTTGAGAGCAGTGAAGAGGGAGCCTCAGTGGGCCCTGCTGGTAGCCGTGTCAGATTTGCCACTGAGAGCCATATCAGATCCTGCAGTGGCAGGGATGGAGGATGATGGGGGGGGGCAGAAAGAGAGAGTGATGGAGTTGGGGAGGCAGAAAGAGAGGGAGAAAGAAAGAAATAGGGATGAGGTGGGAGATACAGGGAGAGAGAGTGACAACGGGGTGGGAGGCAGAGAGAGAAAGTGACAGGCATAGGGGGGAGAGAGAGAGAGTAAGAGGAGGGGTGGCAGAAGGGAGAAAGAGTGAGAAGCAGAGAGGTAGGGGGAAATGGGAGGAAACAAAGGTAAGGGGAATGGGATGGTCACTTGTGAAATTTTCTTATGAGCCCCACCTTGTTTGATCTATTGCTCAATCATGGCCTTGCCTTATAAAACTGTGGTATGGGTGAAGCCCTCTCTCTTGAACCCCAGCTGAGGATATAAGTAGCAAGTCCCTGTCTTCCCTTTTTGCTGCTTTCTGTGGTGTTTTGCTATGTAAGCATTTTGTTTCTGTTTTATTCCTGTGATTTAACATGGGTTGTTGTTTTTTTGTGGTATAACTCTCCTAAAAAGGAGATAATTTTATTGCTTTTAAATTCAGAAAGCAGGGAGGGTATATAGATGGATCAAGAAAAGTGGTGAGTGATGCTTTGGTTAGTATATTAATCTGTTATTAGCATTCACAAAATCAATGGCTTCTTCTGCGGTTGATCTCTTCTTTCCTCTTTACCTGTTAAAGTTAGAGACATTAAATGTGTTAATAATGTCCAATTGGGGTTAGTATTGTCCCTTATTGCGCTTTCCGAACACATCTTCAGGTACTGGGGTTTTTCGCTTTTTTATGTCTCAGGTTGTAAGCTCGACCTTTTGCTGTTGCTCCACCTTCCGATTCTTTGTCCCCTCCCTCCGAGCTGCTGTCTTCTTCGCTGCTGAATACTGTCCATTTAGTGAGCTCTGCCTCATCCTCTGAACTGGCGTGCCTCTTCAAAAAGTCTTGAGCCTTGAAAATGGAGTCTATCTTTTCTCTCTTGTCTTTAAACTTGAACCTTGAAAATGGAGTCTATCTTTTCTCTCTTGTCTTTAAACTTAAAGACAAGCCCTTCTGGAATCAACTGATTTAACATGGGGTTTTATACGTATGTTGCTGTGGTTTAAAAAGGCAAGTGTGTGTGTGTGGGGGGGAACCTGGATGGGTGATTGAAGTGTTATGACTGGATTGTAGCTGTACCCTAGGGGAAGGAGTTGACTGTTTTGTGAAGAGAGGCTGTATGTGTTGAGTTCAGTGGAAGAAGAAGACAAAGAGAAAGAGATTGGATTTATACCCCCGCCCTACAGTACCCGAAGGAGTCTCGGAACAGCTTACAATCTCCTTTCCCTTCCCCTCCCCATTACAGACACCATGTGAGGTAGATGGGGCTGAGAGAGCTCTTCCGAACTGCTCATGAGAGAACAGCTCTGAAAGAACTTGTAACTGACCCAAGGTCACACCAGCAGCTGTATGTGGAGGAGTGGGGAATCAAACCCAGTTCTTCCAGATTAGAGTCCATACTCATAAATTACACCAAACTGTGAGGTGCTGTGGACTCTGAGAGAACAGTTGTATTGAGATTAACAGATTCCCCCCTTTACCTCAGAGCCACCCCCACATGCTGACTGTTCTGCCATTCTACCAAATATAACTAAATCATCCTGTTCCTTGGGTTCAGCTAAGAAGTTTAAGGCAAGTGCCTTTGGTGGCAGCGAAAATAAGAAACACCAATGAAGACAACAAGGCACACCACACGCGTCATCTCAGAACGCTACAGATTCCTGCCAATACAAGAATTAAATATAAGGGGACTCAGAGAAGAAGCAAAACAGTACACCTTACATCAGCATCATCAACAACATGGAGTATGCATGTATTTTATTTCATGCAGTCAGCTGGAAAGAAACACAGCTTTTTTCTTAGTGTGGCTAATCTAGCATAGAGGGAAACAGCAGGTAAAATATAGGCTCCATACGAGAAAGAAACATTTAAACGCTTTCGGCAGGGGGTATTATATATTTCCCAAAGTCACCCTTTTACAGTAATGCTAATCAGTTTACTTGTATTTACAGAGTTTTCTTCAAGCTGATTTTTTCGAAAATTTGACTTCTTTTGCAAAAATTGAGCATTTGGCCACACACACACACAACTGCTGTTTTAAATGTGTAAACTAATCGTGAGATCAAATATTCATGAACAGTGCTATCAGTTGTACTTGTCAGGCTTACAGTGCCATTCTTAGCAGTGTTACATCATTTTAAAGTCCACTGTAGTCAATCAGGTTAGAAAGGCATAACTCTGCTTAGGATTGCCCTATTAGTCTTTGAATGCTTCTCCAGTTTCCTTCTGAATCTTCCCTGGTCCCCCCTCATTAAGAGCTCTTCATTTTCCTAATGACCCCTACCATGGCAGAAGAGAACAATACTTTCTCTCATAAAGGAGGCCAGTTTTGATTCAAGGAGGAAGAAAAGCCCAACACCCAAGTACTTGGGAAACCAGAAGTTCTTTCTGGAACTAGCATTCAATCAATTCAAGCAGAAGCCATTTTTCTTTTCAGACACTTGGAGACTGTAACCATCTGCTCCCATCTGACAGGCAGTGTTCAAAAAGGTTGGTTTCCAGTAGCCCCATCCCCACCCCGCCAGCCTGTAAGTCTGCAAAAAGCCAACAGCTGTTGTAAAAATGGTTCAGTTTTGCTGGAGTATCTGCCCGCCAATTGTGAGGACGTCTTTCATTCCTTATCCTACCAGTTTGCTTGACAATTGCAACCATGGAGACGGAGGACTATTTGGCACTTGAACTGCGGCGGCAGCAGCAAACGGCTGCCCCGGAAGACACTCAGGGGGGAAATATTCACAAATTGTATGTGCTGGCATAAAAGCTTTAACAGTACTAAGACATACAATAGTAAGTTCACCGTGATGTTCCTTAACAGATGTTACCCAGCAGACATATTTGTGTTACTGTAATGAGAAGCACTGGGAAAGTTATGAAAAAAACAAACAGGCAGGGGTTTATGCTCTATTCCAGGAGACAATTAAAGGGGACTCCCTGTGATGTAATCTGGCCCTGTCTTCTATCCAGTCCAACAAAATTGGCTCTCACTTTTTCAGTGCCCAACTAAAAACCAGGCTGCTGAAAGACACTCTTACAATAATTTGGTGTGCGTTGCCGCACACAGCAAGAAGTTCCAGGAGGACCACCAGGCTTTGTGTATTTGAGAAACACTGGAGGCCTATGATGGGTTTATAGTATCGGCTTTATTTACAAATATACAATGAGAGCTTAAGTAGAAATAAACGTGCAGTCCTACAAGGCAAGATTACCCACTATCACAGATCAGAGGGTCCGCAGAGGAACCAGGGAATAACAGAGGAACAAGGCCTGCTGAGGGGAAAATCAACACAGCGTCTGTAAAGAGAAATCCTGCCTCACCAGCCTTTTGGAGTTCTCTGAGAAAGTGAGCAAGCGTATAGTTAACCGTGACCCAGTAGACATGATACACCTGGACTGTCAGAGGTTTCTGACAAGGTACCTCACCAAAGTCTCTCAACTTCCCAAGTAAACTTAGATAAGAGGATGGGTCCTTTTCTGGATTAAAAACTGGTTAGATGACAGGAAGCAAAGAGTAGGAATAAATGGACAGTTCTCACAATGGAGGGAAGTAAGCAGTGAGGTCCCAAAAGGATTGGTATTGAGGAGGGTATTATTTAATCTGTTCATATATGACCTGGAATTGCAAGTTTGTAGATGACACAAAATTATTCAGGATGGTGAAAACCAGGGCTGACTGAAGAGCTTCAGGAGGAACTCCACAAATTGGGTGAGTAGTCAACAATGTGGCAAATGCAGTTCAACATAGGTAAGTGTAAGGTGAGGGGCATTTCAACAACAACAACAACCTCCCCCCAACTTCAAGTGCATGCCAATGGAATCAGAACTTACTGAGACTAAGAGAGGAAAAGACCTTGAGATCATAATGGATAGCACAGTGAAAGTGTGTCAACCCAGTGTGCCACAGCAGTGAAAAAGGCAAACTCTACGCTGGAGATTATTGGGAAAGGGATTGGAAATAAAATGGCCAATATTATAATGGCCCTGTACAGGTCTATGGTGCTGCCTCATTCAGAATATTGTGTGCAGCCACCAAAACATTGCAGAGTGGGGGAAAGTACAGAAGAAGGCAACCAAGATGATTAGGAGGCTGGAGCACCTTCCCCAAGAGGAGAGTCTGAAGAGCCTGGGACTTTTCAGTTTAGAAAAGAGATTATGCACGTAGTAGAGAAAGTGGACAAAATAACCTTTTCTCCCTCTTCCAAAATACTAGAACTCAAGGGAATCCAATGAAGCTGACGGGCAGTAGATTCAGGACAGACAAAAGGAATACTTCTTTACGTAACGAGTGATTAAAATGTGGAGTTTGCTGCCACAGGCACAGACAGCTTTAAAAGGGGATTAGAGATTCATGGAGAATAGGTCTATCCATAGCTACTAGCCATGACAACTAAAGGGAATCTCCACATTCAGTGGTAGTAGATCTATGAATCCCAGTGCCAGGAGACAACATGAGGGGAAGGCCTCTATGTCCTGTTGTTGGCCCGCCAGAAGAACTGGTTGGCCACTGTGTGAGACAGGATGCTGGACTAGCTGGACCTTCACTGGTCTGATCTTCATATGTTCTTATCAGAGACACATCATAAATACCAAGGTGCTTCACCTTCAACCAACTCACAACCGATGTTCCCTCTAAGCTGTGAAGTCTTGTGAGCAAAATTTCTACTTTGCGAGCTACTGGCATCAAAATTCTGAGCAAGCGATTTTGGCTGTTGCATAAATTAGTTTGCTCTGGAGCCATCCTTCCTGAGCTAAGACAAAAATCTGTGAGCTGCAGGCTAAAAAACTGTGAGCTAGCTCACACTAACTCAGCTTAGAGGGAACACTTCTCACAACTCATTCTTTTTTCCAAACAGTTATCTGCCATTCCTACAGAATTGATCTCCCAACAACTCTCAACAGACGAAACCTACGCGTTTTCAAAATATCAGGATCAATCCTCCATTTTGGAAAGCAATGCTAGCTTTGGCTATCGTCCGATGGGGCTAACTCCTAAGTAAATCTGATGTTTCTTCTAGCTCTTGCACTGAAAACAAAAATTTAAGGGCTGATTTTATACTACTGCACCAGCAGAGCAGGTCCTAGATCAAGTACAAGGATTCCAGCACGCAAGGCCGCTTAGGACCTGTACTGGTATTGTGACCAACTCCATCTTTGGGCCAACAGCTGCTACCACTGCTCCGTGTGCAGAACCACCCATGTATCACTAGGTCAACCAAGAAACCTACAAGTTAACACTTGTCTGCGGCAAATGAATTTTTAAACAAGAAATTACTCAGATTGCTTGCTATGAGCCAGTGGGACAGGAATAAGATAATTCTAACTCATTGTCATTAGAAATGTGTATCTCAAGTAAATCCTTGGGACCGGAGTACATGGCTTGCAATTTCAAAACTAGCTTTTTTGTCAGCATATTTCTTCAAAATCAGAGACTTGATTCCAAGACAGCAAGCTTAGAAGTAATGGGTCAAAAAGCAACAAACATAGGTGCAGCCGTACACAAAATCATTGCCCCATAGGCAAAGAAGGTAGACTTTCTCAAGGTTTAATGGACCTTCCAAAAATCAAATGTTGACTCAAGAAACAATGTGCAGTGTGAGCAATATGGTGTCTTGCCATTTGCAGCGCATCAGCCTTAGGACTCAAGCAGATTAAACAAAGACTGTGCATCTCAATCCATCCATAAAATACAAGTTGAAGGCTGGAGGAGCGTCATTTTGCCCCAGGACAGCACAAGGAAGGGAGAAGGGGTTCTGCTCTGTGAAACCAACTCTTCTAATCTATTAGCAATTTAAAGGAGAAAAGCACTTTTAAAGAGTTTTTTAAACTGTTTTAGGTTTAGGTTGAGGAATTAAATCACTTCTCCTTTCTCTGCATGGCCCGGAGGCAAACTGAGTCTGCAGAAGCATTTTGCATTTTATGGAAAGGACTAAGCTGTTGAGCCCTCAGAATCTATTCTGAACAGGGCTAAGAAGCTACAAATGAAGAAAGCAAACCAGAATGGCTGGTGTGTAACTATTAAAACATGGCTAAAATATACGATATCAGATTAGTAAAATACGTTGACAGGAAATGAAATGTGAGAAACTGAATTCGTGCTTTCATTAGTACAAAAGCCGTAAAAACATTTTTACTTTTAAAACAGTATCCTCCGGTATATATAATTCTATTTTGGTCATGGACTCCCCTGAACATTCCAACACGCTCCAAAATCAGTTTGCTCTCTGATCTGTCATTCAGAGGGTCTCCCTATCCACTGGCTGCTTTGCCTGAGTCCTGCCTCCAACATTCTAAACAGTTTGCTGTTCCTCTCCCCCCCCCCACACAGCCAGTCAGGTCATTTGCATATGTGGCCTGATTCGCCTTTGCCTCGGAACACAGAGGTTCTTTGCATTTGCGGCCTCACTGGCCTTTCCCTCTAACATTCTAAACAGTTTGCTGTTGATGTTCTGACGTAAAATAAATTTCCCCTTAGTGTCTGTTGGGGGAAACCATGGTTGCAAATCTCCAGGTGAGGGCTGAAGATCACTCAGAATTACAACTGCGTTCCAGATGGCAGAGATCAGTTCTCCTGGAGAAAATGGTGGACTCTGTGTCCTTATATCCTGCTGAGATGGCCCCTGTATGACAGCCAATGTGACGTAGCAGTCAGGGCTATTAAAACTGATGTCCAGATGACCCAGATCAGTTCTCTTGGAGACAATGGCTGCTTTGGGCAGTAGATTCTATGGCATTATACCCTGTTGAGGTCCCTCCCCACACAAAATCCTGCACTCCCCAGGCTCTACCCCTCAAATCTACAGGTATTTCCCAACTCAGAGTTGGCAGTTGTGTAATCGGCTATGGAACCACTTTCCAGACCCTCGGAACCCAGAAAACGTGGCACAGGAGGAGGTGCTTTTCTACCTTAGCTGTGACTGCATAGCCCCAAACTAACATAAGCCAACCTCTAGGAGGTACCTGGAGATCTCCAGCTATTAAAACTGATGTCCAGATCACCAAGATCAGTTCTCCTGGAGACAATGGCTGCTTTGGGCAGTGGATTCTATGGCATTATACCCTACTGAGGTCTCTCCCCACCCCAAATCCTGCCCTCCCCAGGCCCCTCAAATCTACAAATATTTCCCAACCCAGAGTTGGCAACCGTGTAATCAGCTATGGAACTACTTTCCAGACCCTTGGAACCCAGAAAACATGGCACAGGAGGAGGTGCTTTTCTACCTTAGCTTCCACTGCATAACACCCCCCTCCCCCTCAAAAAATAAGTCAGAGGTGGAGAGAACCATATCTGTTACCATGAGGCTGTCCTCCCATTCTACCCACTTGGGGCAGCAAAATGACTTGAGACAGCCCTGCCTTATAGCTAAGCAGAAGGAAAGAAACATGGCTTGCCTCCCTCCATTTTCCGCTTCCCTCTGCCGCCCCACCAGCCACAGTCAGGACACTGATCTGGAGCTTCCTTCTAGATCTCGTTGTATTTCTTCCCACAACAGGCATCACTCCTAGTGTTCTTATATTTTCAAACTTACATACCTGACAGTATCCCACAGATTTATTATGGTGCCCATATGCCACTAATACATTGTAGAGTGTCTTCTGTAAACAGGGATCAGCAGTTTTGCGAAACCGTATGTTATCTGGAAATGTTCTGTTCATATCTGAGAGAGAGAGGAAGAGAGAACAATTTAAAGATATGTCCCTGGACATTCATTTACTGCCATTAAAGAGACCAATTTAGTAAATGCAGGCTATCTATCTTTAAGGAAAGCTTCAAGGTCTTTTACTTGAAGAATCCATAAACATTGCTCAGCAAGAGTCATAAAATGTAAGCTTCTCATTACCATTTGAGCCTGGAATCTGGCCCACAACCATGGGACACTGGAGACCTCTGGAACAGAGCAAATGAGTGAGCACAACTGTTGGGAAGATTGCCACTGCATTTAGGGTGCAACGGAAATAAATAAGGATGTTTAAGACTCAAATCTCATTGACAGAAAAGCATTGTACCTTGTACTCTGGTCTGAAGCATGTTTATTTAAAACTAATTCCCAGGCCTTTTTCTTGACTCCACAAGGTCTATGGGCTGAACACTCACTTTACTTCTCTCTGCCCTGCGTGTGTGTTCACTGCAACTTCTTGAAATGTACAACTTTCTTCCGTCAGCTCTACTTTCTAAGTGCCATGAAGACAGTGGGCAATTCTGCATTGGCTTTTCCCTCCGTTGTTTTACCGAACACACCTTGGAACAGAAATTCCCCTCTGTATTGCATGCTGCTTTCACTTTCTTTGATCGTCAGATTTTATGGTACTCTCTACACTGCATGCCGCTTCCGCTTTCTTTGATCATTGGGTTTTATGGCACCTTCTGCATAGATTTATGGCCGTTCAGGGGTGACTTCACAGTCAGTAGGGCATTGCCCCAGGGTATCTGAATGTGGTTTTGAGCTGCACCTTTCCCCCAGTGTTGAGAAAATGTGGAGTGAATGCCAGATGCAGAACAGCCCAGTGTGGAGACACTTCAGTCCTTCCCTGTATAGGGAAAAATAGTACCCATATATGGCAGTTGAGTGCAATTAACTTCGCCATACTATCAGACCCATTTAGGAAACTAAACTGTGGCACTGGTCACACAAGAGGTTTTGGCCCGGGAGAACGACGGATCAGGGGCGGAGCAAACGGGCGCGAGCACACCGCAACATCTGGGAATCGGCGTGCACCTGTCCCCGATCCGGCCTTTCAGGCCAAAAATGCGCATGGAAAAATAACCACCCCCAGAGGAGGACTTACTGGATAAGCCGCAGCAAGCGTGGCCGTCAGATCGCGGGCGCGCTCGTCTTCTGGAGCAACCCAGGCTCCTTGCCGAACTGCGCTTGCTCACACATGCGCAGTTCGGCAGCCTCTCTCCCCCTTCCGTAGCTTCCCCCCGGCATCTGATCGTGCCGGGGAGGAACTGCGCGGCAGCTCAGGGGATCTATGTGATCCTGCCGCCGCGTGTTTCTTTTGGTGCGGCTTTAAAAAGCCGCACTTTGCCCGTTCTTTTTTCCCACGTGTGGCAGGGGCCTGTGTCAAGCTCACACCTCACTTACTCTTCTGTGTCCCACAGACCCAGGCGGAATGCAGTAGCTTTCAATCAGAAAAAAATGTGGTTTTTCTAACAATGATCAATGAATTTGTCTGTTTTCAGTGGGATTTTAGAATTGGATTGGAAGCTGTGGAAAAATCATCATTCAGAGGCTAAGACCAAAGGGAAATGCTGGCCACCACCACTACAAGCAGGATCCAAGTCAGTCAAAAGCGACTGATGTTGAAATTAATTGTGGGATGATCTTTCAGCTCAGTCATGTGGCTGTCCTCAGCGAAGGCAAAGACAAGAGAGGACTGAACACTGTTCTTGCTGCTGGTCTTGGAGGTTACATTTTCATTGACCCATGTTACTGCCTTAGGTCTGATCATGCCCAACACTGACATACATAAGACTGTATGTCAACTAGAACTGGCCACTATTATGCATGCCTCAGTAACATCAAGATTACACAACTATAAACATGGTCTATGGTTGGCTGCCTTTGACAAGTGCTTGAAAAGTATTAATTGGTACACAACGCAGCTGCTGTTCAAGTTCATAGTTCCAGATTGTTATATCTTTACTGATCAACCGTTGGTTTTGGCCACAATTCAGGGCCCTGCTTTTGACCTTGAAATTCACAGATGGTCTGGGATCAAGATATCTCATTTACTCATTTATGAATTTGTTATCCAGATCATGATCTGAGGCCCTCTTTTACCCCTCTCTGTCCTCCGATATGGCGCATATGGGGATTTATTTGCTTTATTTATACCTGGCCTCTGTCCCCAGTGTGCACCCAAGACACCTTTACATCATTCTCCTCCCCTCTGTTTTATCCACACAATAACCCTGCAAAGTAGGTTAAGTCTCAGCATGACTGAGTCTCCTAAATTCTGGTCTGACATTCTAACTACTAAGCCAAAAGGCTTCTGTTGCACACATAGACTCTGGAATGCAATCCTAAAGTAGTATACGGTCCCAAACTCTTCTTGCTTTTCAGTTTACTGAAAACCTTAGTTCTCCCGGAGGGCATTAAGTGTAGCCTGATTTTTGGCTCCTGAGTTCTCTTGATGGGCTGGTCCTTGCAGTATGGGCTTCTCTCCTTTTCTCTACTTCTATTTTTTTTAAATTGTTCTTATATGGGTTTTATCATTAGGCCACAATAGACATGAAAAAGTTCTTAAATAGATATTGATCTGGGCACCTCCTTGTCTGAGACCAGGGAATTTCCCCATTGCTCCTAATAGCTTGATACTACAACATGAAGCACATGATGGGACTTGCTTCCTGGTAAGTAACTAAAGCCTTAATAACACTTATTGCTCCTTACGAAGTTCAAAAGAATAGCAAATATATTCAATGCAACCTGTGGACACCCAACAGGATAAAGTACAGACAGGTACAGTGAAAATTACAGTACATTATTATACAACCAGCATTTTGAGGGACAAAGTCATGCTCAACTCATTTATACGGTTCTGTGGAACAATACAGCTACTTACAACCTTATATGTAGAATAGTTCTCCTGATCAGCTTTTTTTTTTTTAAAAAAAAAGCTTCTAGCGCAAAGGTGTCAAACTCATTTGTTACGAGGGCCGGATCTGACATAACGGTCACTTTTGTCAGGCCGGGCCATGTGTGCCATAAAACAATAATGCCAGGTACCAAAGATACAAACTTTATAAAGGACAGCAGCTGGTAAGCTCTGAGTTGTTGTATCCTCACTGCAAGGCCCCCTGGGCTGGGAGGGGGGTGCAAAGGGAAACCCACATGGGTGGACTGGAGAGCCAGCGGTGCAGCCCTGGGCAGATGTTTATCTGCTGCTTGGCTGTTGCAGATGAGGTTGTTCTGCTGTGCTGAAGCCACAATCTGAGTGGCCCCACCCACTCCCCCATGAGCAGTCTTCTGTTCCCTCTCTTTCC